GAAGATCGATCAGACAAGATCGTGAAACTCATGCAGAGAAGCGAAAAAACATTGTTATTTTAAGATATTTGTAACGTTAACTATATATATATATATATATATATATATATATATATATATATATATATATATATATATATATATATATATATATATATATATATATATATAAATCAATCAATGATGCATCAGAGCTCATATAACAACTTTTTATTACGTTTCGGGGCAAGCCCCTTCTTCAGATTACATGTGTACACTTAATTTCAACTATTTAAACTGTATATATATATATATATATATATATATATATATATATATATATATATATATATATATATATATATATATATATATATATATATATATATATATATATATATATATATATATATATATATAGTTTTCGTTTTACCTCAAAAAACCACAACAGTCTGTTTCATCCGTAAAGGAATCATATATATATATATATATATAGCTATATATATATATATATATATATATATATATATATATATATATATATATATATATATATATATATATATATATATAAATATAAATCATTCAATGATACATCAGAACTCATATAACAACTTTTTATTACGTTTCGGGGCAAGCCCCTTCTTCAGATTACATGTGTACACTTCATTTCAACTATTTAAACTGTATATATATATATATATATATATTGACAAACCAATATATTATATCACACTAGGAAAAAAATGTGAAATCCATACAATGAAATTTGCAATTACACCACCAAATCCATAGTATAGACATACTATTTCAATACTATATCCATAGTTTGGAAATATACAAATATTATGGATAATCAAAATCCATTCTACTTCCAATAAAGATCCATATAGTTTCCACTCTATGACTTTCTATGGATTTTCAAATTTTTTTCCAGTGTCAAGGAGTTGAATCTTGTATAGGAAAGGCTCGGAAAAGACTAAACAACAAAATTTATATAACACTGATGTTTATCATATTGAAACACTTCTTCATCCTGATGGGATAATTAATCAGGACAGTCACTGTGAAACTTGCCATTTAAACAGCGTCATAATATTTATAAATAGAAACCATTAAAACCAACGTTAAATTATTATCGCAGATCGTACGTTCTCTCCTCCCCCTCCCCCTCCCCCACTATGCATGCAGTGTTGGTTCTTTGGCGTATTTCTCATTGGACGATACTATAATTGTGAAATATTCGTGAATATCACATGTTGTTAAACCAATATTGTAAGGTAGCGGTCGATGGTCGGTATAGAGGTGGAGCTGAGCTATATACAGTTAGCACGAAATATCAGTTTTACTTTCGTTTCAAGTAATGTATGTTTTCAATTTGTCCTAAAATAATTGTTTCATGATTGTAGCTATCCCAGTAGCCTGTTCCCTTTATTGCGTATTCTGAATACCACTACCAACATGCTTTTCGGACGTGTTATTGGATAATGAAGAAAATACCCGCAAAGTATCATGGTAGTTGTATTCAGAATGCGTAATAAGGGGAACTGGCTATTGGTTCCAAAAGGAATCTCGAATATACGCAATATGCGTTACCTTGAAATTGTCAATGTTGTAGATTTTCATTTTGTCGTACCACCACCACTTCGTGATACGGAAAACAACCAGACTCACTATGTTGGGAAGCTATGGCGTATTGACTGTCGAATTAAGGACAATAATTCGTCCGAGGTTAGACTCTATCAGAACGATATGCTCAGGGAACCTGACGAACGAGTGCTGACACTAAAAGAACAGGTCTTTATGTTGTTAAGTGAAAAGCCTTCTGATATTGGCGAATACACATGCGTCAGCGAGTATTGTAATATAAGTAAAACTGTTGGAAAGTTGATTGCAGGTATAGAACATTTAACTATACTTTCGTCTAGGTACTATTGGCAGAAATGTATACTGTATATGCTACAACTGTGCATGCTTGTTAATTCTGGTAAAGATATGTATACAGTATATACTGATTGTTTCTAGTTCTGATAATCCGATGGCGCACAGCAGTATACGCTTTGTGATAAATTGTAAAAGTGAATCTGACATTAATTTTCAGATCGTACCGTAAATTCTTGCATAAACGAACCGTCGTCGCGGGCAAGGTGTTTAATTTAAACACTTTAGTCGAACACAAATTTAAATAAACAACGTGAAGTTTTAGCCCTTTGTGCAAAAGTTGCTTTATGCATATGCTCATGTTTATGCCTTACTTCTAATACTGAATATCTGAGTGATGTTTTGTAAAATGTTATACAGGCTTTATTCTTTTGTGAGCGGACGGAAACGTCCAACGTAATGAAAATTAAGAAATAAAATTTTTAAAAATCAAAGAATGAAGTTGAGGTCATGCGTGTAAACAGTACGCGCCAGTAATTCTACAAGTGGTGTATATCATTATAATATTCCTATAGATACGTCAAGACGGCTTCCGACAATTTATCCTCTGAATCAAAAACTGATAGCTTCTGGCAGCAATTATACAACATGCGCATGCGAAGTGGAAGGTATTTATGACATGAAATGGTATAGAGTGGCAAGCAATGGTTCAGAAACCTTATTGCAGAGTGAGGAAGAATCGTTTTGGAAGAATGGTTTTTGGTTCACTCGTCGCCGCCTTGAAATAATTAACTTCACCATAGCTGATGAGGATTTGTACATGTGTGTCACTGAAAGATCCACAGATAATTACACTGCTGAAAAAGAAATATTTCTGGGTTAAGAGGTAAATAATGTAGAACTATTGATATTCCATTAGACTACGTCAAACATAGCAACAGTTTTCTTGCATGTTGATTACGATTCCTTTTTAATTTGCAATCGAATATTATATACATTATAATAATAACAAATTATCCAGAAACCTACACGAAACTATTTTCAACGACGATTGTAATGCAAATACAGGAGTAATACGAAATTTGTTTGGTTGGACAACGCGTTGCGATTGAGATCCTTATTGCACCGCAGATATATCGTTGTTGCATCACGTTGATATCACATTGACCAAAAAGTGTCAAACAGAACTGCATGACCTATAGCTATAGTGAAATGGTGATATAGTCGTAATATATTAAAGTTAGTCCTTAATTATTTTTCATTTTAGATCCTTCAAAGGATATACTGGTACCATTTCACTGGTATTATACTTCATATTCCGAAACTGAAATTGATGGTCACTTGTTTCATACTATACTGCACGTCTATATTTGTCATCTACCTGTCATTATTAACCTCTTGGTAATTGAACATGTTAAAGGAATTGTATGGACAAGGAATTTTACCGCGGACCAGTCACAACCACTAAAATTAGGTATGCCTGTGCATTATGTTAAAAATATTACGTTCGTTTTGTTTGCTATAAAGAGAAAATTCTATTATGTTCTTATTACACTAGGCAACTTGGACTTCTATATACTATAACGTTTTAACACAATTTCAAACTAGATGCAATCATGCAAGAAAGTGGAATGATGTTGTCACAGAGGTTACGACATGTTGAATATATTTACAATGAAGTTATTAATAAACCGTACCTCCATGTTTCACTCATAGTAACGTATATGCATGAGTAACTAAGCAATACTCCATCTTTCAGGTGAAAGTTTCTGACATATTTATATTGTGTGCAAACGTCCGTTGCAAGTCACAGCAATTAAAAATGTTCTCAAAACCAATCTATGTATTATACAAACGTTTCCCCATTTCATGGTAAAGATTTGCCATTTTTCTATATTACTTAGGTTTTCTATATGTAATTTTATTTTCTTAAGGTCGAAATTCCAATTATGGTGTGACCTTAGAGATGCACGTCCATTTTGAAGGGAGATATAAAGACCATTTACATATCACGGTACGTTATTGTTGGTCAGTTAGGTAAGCGTAGCGAGGCAGCAGCGCATGCATGGTGGTCAACGTCAAACACCTTTTATACCAATCGTAATCATGATATTATGTTGAAGTATGCCTGAAGTCGTAAAAAGAAAATTATTCTGCTTCTGGTCAGTGGATTTGTTCAAAATTGACGCGGCTTTTATTATTTTCCCACCCATTTTAGAAATGGGTGGAAATAGATTGTATAAAGTGTATAGTGTTTTTACCATTATTTTACTATTGAACTCACAAAATCTGCAGGTTTAATAGAATAACATGAAAACCATTATAAAAATACGTTAAATAAAAAACGTTAACGCACGGTTTAAAATGACGTGCGCGCTAGACCAGAAACGGTAATTTTTACGCCTAATGCCAGTATAAAATATAGATAATATGCACTTTTACCGACGTTTAAAAAGTAGTTTTGCCCACAGTTTGATCAAGGCGACGGTGATTTTTTGAGGAATTCAATTAAAATGATAAAAAAGTTCAGCTGTTTTGAAAATTGAAATAATGACCACGATTTAAAGTGTATTTGCATGCGCCTTTGTCTTTATTCATTTGCACATTTATTTATTACTCAAACTTATGAAAAAAGTAAACTTTTCACCGTCAGAAACAAGTTTAATATAATGTTCAAATCGCTAAATTGATAGGCTTGCGTGGTGAGGTTAACATCTAAAACGTCTGATTCTTGCATCGAAATTATGAATCAAAAATTTAAGACGACACCAAGATGTGAAAATAGAGGTAAGAATTCTTATGCATTTCACATGCACTTTAATTAATTTATATCCTGCATGGAGAAAATGTGTCAAGCATATGCATCTCATCTCCTATACCTATATAATTTCCTATAGGCTCTAATGTTACGTCTACAGATAAATTAGGGAGCATATTTTCTACATTTCATTATCTGATATAAACCTTATAAACCTGGAAAAATACGTGCAAATACAATATATCTTCATACAATATAAATAATCTTTATAAAGCAAGTATATCTCACATTAAAATAGTTTATAGCCCCCGCAGTTTTATAGCTACAGTTGCGCTGCACTTTACATGAGCGCGTCTTTCAGCCATCATATCTATACTGTTTCAAGAAATACAACCATTTCAGGAAAAGTTATTTTAATCCTAATATTTTTGGTTGTATTGGGGAAATAGTATTTCCTCGGAAGGTACTTACCTGAAAGGGAGATAAGGTTCTCCGAACTCCTTCGAAGACTGATACGAGCAATACTGGTGCAGTTCGCAGCGCGCGACGGCTTGGAACCCACGATTTCAATTAATTCATACGCATGCGTACTGACATCCTCTGATTGAGTGGTAAGCTGAATTGATTAACAGACTAGGGTGGGGTGGTATAGGTATCTACCACCACTGGTACGGGGACCAGTATTGCTCGTTTCAGTCTTCGAAGGAGTTCGGAGAACCATATCTCCCCTTCAGGTAAGTATACCTTCCGAGAAAATACTATTTCTCCTTCACTCCTTCTCCGACTGATACTCACAATACTAGTGCAGATTTCAAAGACAACTGTTAATCAATGTAAATATAAAATTTTAATCTGAAATTAACACAAAACAATATCAACAACACATTTCCAAAAGTCGTTAACTAATGTATCTTGGAATGCAAACACTGAGTAATGTCAATGATTTTTGTACGTCCGGGGCCAAAATACTTTTAACGAACTTATCCTTTGAGATAGCCTTGTGGTAAAATCTCTCGAACGTTGTTGCTGAAGACCAGTCAGCAGCAGCTATGATATCCTCAAGAGGAACACCGTTATCGGCAGGCATTGATGTTGCTGCAGCTCGCGTAGAATGACCCGTGTGCTGAACATCAATACCTGCATTGGACAATACAGTGCGTATCCAGCGTGATACAGTCTGACTTCCAATAGCCGAGTGTGGCGAGGTACACTACACGAGTAGATGCTGGTCCTTGCGAATACGAGCTGTTCGATTAACGTACTGTTTCAGACTCTCAATAACACAAATCGTTTGGTTTTCTGGTAAGGATGGAAGATAAATCTTTCTTGCTGGGTGATTCGGCCGAGAATTCTTTACATGTTTAGGTATTACAAACTCCCAACCGTTCTCCTTTTGGGATACATAATCCAAGTGCTATGCTGCGAGTTCGTAATCCCTGGTTGAAGACGTAAGCGCCAACAGGATGGGCGTTTTAAGAGTCAACTCTTTAAGTGAGAGGTTCTCGTTTGGTTCCATATTCTTTAAATGCTCTAATAATGTCTCAACTGACCAGGTTACGCATATCTTGCGTGTTGGTGGACGAAGTTCAAAGACACCTTTCATAAAACGGGATAAGAGCGGAAGAGTTCCCAGTGGTTGTCCATGGATCATGTAGTTGAGATATGCATGATTTGTAAACACCGACAGTTCGGTATGAAAGCTTTCGAGTATAAACTGTTCAGTCAAAAACTGTAAAACCTCTGCTACAGTGGCTGAAAATGGACATTGATTCCGTGAGATACACCAGCTAGTCCAAAGTCTCCAAGGACCTTCATATATCTTTTTCGTTCCTTATCTCCAGGAGGCCATAAGGATGTCACAAACTTGCGGTGGAAGACCTCCTGCTCGACAACGTTCCCTGAAAGTGGCCATACCGCCAGCTTCATTGTTCTCCACAGAGGGTGTTGCGCTTCCCGGTCGAAAGGTACACACAGACTCGTTTCCGTCATTGGAAGAAGGGACGGGATGTTGACCAACATCTCCAATAGTAGCGGATACCATGTCTGGCCCGGCCAGCTCGGGGCAATGAGTAGACAGGTGCCTCGTATATTCTTCAGAATGCGGGAAAGCATTATAATTGGCGCACGAATGAACGATGTCCATCTGTTCCATTGCAATGTCATTGCATCGACCTCCATTGCATCTGGGTCTGGGTGCCGGGAAACATAGAGGGGTAGTTGATGATTGAGCCAAGATGCAAACAAGTCGACTTGTGGAGTGTAATACTTTGTGACTATACGTGTGAAGATCGCCATGTCCAGAGTCCACTCTGTGCATTCGTTGAAGTGACGAGAAGCCCAGTCCACATTCTATACTCCCGGAAGGTGTTGTGCTGTTATCCATATTCCTTTCTGTTGATAAACGTTCCAAATTTCGACTGCCAAGGCTGCTAAAGTCGAAGACCTGGTTCCCCCTCTCTTGTTGACATATGCAACTGCTGTAGAGTTGTTCATCTGCAGACCAATATGTTGTGGCATTTTTACCTGTGTCGTCAGAAAAGACTGGATGGCCAGAAGGGCTGTTTTCATTTCGACAATGTTGATGTGTTGTCTGGATTCTTGGATGTTCCATCGTCCCCCTGTCATGATTCCGTTGTACTGTGCTCCCCATCCTTGATTGGACGCGTCGGTGTAAATGACCAGGTCGAACGCTGGTAGTGAGATTAAACACTTGTTGAACTGATGTATCTGCGTCGAAAGAAATCCACCATTGGAGGTCGGTTAGTGATTCTCCTGTCAGATAGACCTTTGTCTTGTGCGAGAGACGTTTGCTCTGGTGAATGCTGTTGATATGTTGCCTCTGTAGAGCACGATAATACAAAAGTCCCTGGGCTAGACCCATGCACTTGGGAGCAATGGTTCATTCTGCCTAATAAAGCCGAGAGTTCTTTCAGCGTCAGTCAGCGATTCTGGATTGCATTCTTGCACTCTATTTGGAGCTTTTGGAGTTTGTCGTTGGGTACAGCTTGTGTCATCTCCCTCGAGTTGATCAAGGATCCCAGGAACTCTAGACACTGGGATGGGGCTTGGGAGCATTTCTCCTGTTTGATGAGAAATCCCAGACGTTGTAGTAGATTGATAACACTCCGAAAAATTGACGACAGTCTTTTTGGGCTTTGGTCCAGAATAAGCATATCGTCCAGATATATTACAATCCGTATTCCTTGTGTTTGTAGCAATACTACGAGCGGTTTTAACAGTTTTGTAAATGTCCTGGGCGCACTGGATAGCCCGAATGGTAGGCATTGGAACTCGTATGTTATTCCTTGGAATACAAACCTCAGATATTTCTTGTGACTGTTGTGAATCGGTACGGAAAAATAGGCGTCTTGGAGATCTAACTTCATCATGAAGTCTCCTGGTTGGATCAGTTTGCGTACTGCTTCCAGACCTTCCATCTTGAACTTCTGAGATTGGACAAAGCGATTGAGATTCTTTAAATTGAAAATTGGCCTGTCCTTGGACACTTGTTTCACTATGAACAGTGTTGAAGTGAATTGGTTTGTCTCCTCCTGTACAGCTTTTACTGCACCTTTCGCTTGGAGTTGTAATATGGCTTCTTTTATAGAAGTCAAGTCCTCTTTCGACTTTGCTTTTGTTTGTCTCTGTCTCCACTGTATGGGTTGACGAACAAAGGGAATTTTGTAACCTTGAACTATGGATAGAATCCAGGGATTTGATGTAATTAGTGTCCAGTTTGAATAAAATTGTTTGATGCGGCCTGCTACAAGATTGTCCGTTGGTTTGATGTCTTTTAGTGTTGGTAGCTGATAGTCGGCTGCGTTTTGCGTGGTTTCCACGTTTTGCCCAATAGGGTTTGTTGTTGTTTGGATTCTTTCTGAATGAGTTGTTATGTTGCGGTCGGGTAAAACTAGATCGGTGGAAGGATTGGTCACGAAAGGGCTGGTCACGAAAGGACTTGTTGGTTTGAAAACGCACTCTGAGGTTTGGTTGGTTGTGCCACTAATTTGCGATTGGTATTTGCATGATCATGTTCCTCTTTAATTACATTATGAAATTTCTTGGGGAACAGGTATTTGTCAGCTGGAATTTGGTCTTTCAGGGTACGCTTACCCACATCCGTTAAGTATTCTGCAAAACGTGTTTGGCGCCAAATGTTTAGATGACAATGTGCATTTCCTAGTAGCACAATAGCATCTTCGATAATAGCTTTTATGTGGTCAAGATCAGGACCTGAGGGCTCATCCCCATCTACATCCACTTCTATCTTCTCCAATGCTTGTAGAGCACTGACATGTGGTCGAACAACGGAAATAAAGGGTGCTTGTTTGTCAGCTAGTCCTTCATCAAATGTGAACAAATCTTTTGTTCGGGACAGACCATGGACACGTTTGATGTCCTCTTTCATCCCTGTTTGCATTATGGGTGAAACTAGGAAATCAGCTGTTCCTTTAATGTCAGGGTATTGTTCCATGTCATTTGTCCAAACTTCTTTGGACAGTTGCTTGGTAAATGCAGATTTGATAAATGAAGTTAATTTTTCAGAAATGGTAGCTTCTGGTGCTGGTGCATAATACTTGTCGGAACGACTAGAACCGACAAAAGCTGGTGGTGTGTCACCATCAGCTACTTTGGCTCTTTTAGGTTGTGGTTGTTCCACAGCGATATTTTCTTGAGAACCATTAGGCTCTGGTGTCATAAAAGCATTTCTTAAAATGTCTGGTAGAGTCCTTTTTAATGTCTCAGTGACTTTGACCTCGATCAGAGAACTTAGTTGATCTCTTGACACTGGAATATGTGTCGCTGATGCATCATCAGAGCGGGTATCCTCAATGAGCATATTGTCTGGTCCTGCGAGATGGGTACCTGCAGGAAACCAGGTCATTCTTAAAACATTGTATGAATAATAGATAAAATATTTCTTTAAAGTATAACTATATACTATCAAATTTCCATACGTATTCGTCGAGCGGGTACTCTAGACGAATAATGCATTTGTTTACCTGCGAGATGGGTACCTAGGAGATATACTCAAAAAATAAAGCCCAGACTTGACGAAAATAATCAAAATATTCGATCAGGCGACGTATAACCATAGTAAATGTAAACGTATTAAACAAGATGCAAGTTTTTACCTTAATATTATGCTGCAATAGTCATAACCGGTAAATCATATGATGTCAGATCTAAGGATATATTAGAAGAATTAAGATGGCAGCCATTGATGGAAAGATGGGGTAATAATAAGGCGATATTTATGCATAAAGTTACGAATGGTGAATACTTAGAAAATATATCTAGCTTGTTTGTCGTTAAAAATAATGACAATTATAATTTACGAAATAATAATATCGATTGTAAATTAGAAAAGCCCAAAACAAACTTTTTAAAAAAAAGCATTAGCTATTCATGTGTAAATATTTGGAATGAATTACAGGTAGAACTGAAAAGCAATTGCTTGTCATTAAATGCATTTAAAACCTTGCTTCGGGACAGACCTCAACATAATATATACTTAAGTCTTATCATATTATGTGGTGTACTGTGTAATATGTAATGTGTAATGTGTAATGTGTAATGTGTAATGTGTAATGTGTAGTGTGTAATTTGTAACTATATACTAATTGTAATTATTAACCCAACTTTTTTTGTAAATATGTATTGTGCAACGGCCCCTTGGAAAACAGCTCTTATCTATGCTGAAGGGCTACCGTTGCTTTTTTAAAGAAGATTAAATAATAATAATAATATAAAACTTTTTTTAAATATAAATACAGCTTGCGATATTCAGCACTTACCTTTTCAGAGGTCATTCTTGCATAAAATAGAGAAATTTGTTCCGGATGGATGACTTTTTTGAAGGATTTTGAAGCGAATTTAGTGAGTTAAACAAACCGAAGCTTGCCCACGAAAGAAGAGGATGTCAGTACGCATGCGTATGAATTAATTAAAATCGTGGGTTCCAAGCCGTCGCGCGCCGCGAACTGCACCAGTATTGTGAGTATCAGTCGGAGAAGGAGTGAAGGAGAAATGTTGCAATAAAGAGAATTCTGTTTAATTACTAATTAAAAATAAATGTTTTCAAAAAATTGTATACAAATTAGTGTACATGATCATAAACTTCACATCTGGGAAATTTCGCTCATATTCTCACTTCGAGAACACTGAATTCAGATGATGATCATCCTATCTAATTATTTTCAATATATTTTTTAACGCAGTAAAATGTCGTCAACCAGCACCAAACTCTCTAGTGTGCCCAAGATATTTGAACACTTTGGAAGAACAACTCAATGCAACGTTTATTCTAACCCTGCGAGATCCATGCAATGGAACATTTAATCTTCAAATTCGGGATGGAAGTCCACAGCCCGCCATAAACGGTTCTTTAATGGACATGGCGCTTCAAAACAAAACTCAAGTCAAAATGCTATTAAAAGGATATGATAACGAAAATGACCATTCCACAGTGCAAGGAAAAACAAAATTCTCTCAATGGTACCTCAGACTTCAGGTTGAGGCAATCTTTTTCAAGACTTACAAAGTGAAGGTGTGACATACTGAATTATTATAATAATAATAATAAAATCTTTATTTATACTGATAAAAAAGACCGTTCAGTCAATTGCATAAATTGGTTGGTATCAGTCGGTGATTTCGATCAGTGTATAACAAGTATATATACAATAACATAAGTGCGTAACCGTGCATATAAATAAGACTATATATAAAGGCCCGTTTACACCTGAAATTTCCGCTGCGATTCCAGATGCGACCCTCCTCCCCCGATGCATGCGAACGAGTAGATGAGTAATGAATGTTCTGCATGAGTATATGTACCTTCATCTGAACATTCATAACTCATCCACCCGGCCACACCCACAAGAAGAAAAAGACCGCACCCAAAATCGCAGCAAAAATTGCAATGTAAACAGACCTTAAGATGTCTAAAATTACAAATTAACTACATGCAATTGTGCGTAACAGCATCCATGTTTAGCAAGTATTTAAACACTTCATTCTTGAACCGCACAAGTGTTTTTAGTTCTCGTATTTCTTTCGGTAGAGAATTCCAATCTCTGGCAGCCGAGAATCTGAATGAGGTCTCGCCACAGCTAGTTCTTACTGGCGGTAAATCTAGTAATGTTGGATCTCTAAGAGATCGACAGTGCATTCGTGATCGTCTTACTAGATAGCCTATCAACTGCTTCGGGCAATTTATGTTGTTTACGATCTTATAAACGTATTGCAATCTTATAAGACGACGTTTTCCGTACATGAGTACATGTCTTACGGTTTGCGTGTAACACTATCCGCATCGCTTGATTTTGTAGTCGTTCTAAGCTTTGGACGTTTCCCTTTCCGCATTCAGCACATACGACGCATCCGTAATCACAGAGGAAGCACAGTTTGCTTGTAGATCTAAGAAAATGTGAAATTCTGTTGAGCAATTTATGTTTTGGATAAACTCTTGATTTTATATAAGTGATATGTTTATTCCATGTCAGGCAGTTATCTATATATAAACACCTAGGTGTTTATAATATTCTGACTGTTTCATTGGGTTTCCATCAAGGATAATTTTAACTCTCTGGTATTCTTGACAGTGTACCTCGATTCAATCGGCATTGCCTCACACTTCTTGTGATTACTGATTAGGCCGTTCTGATTCCACCACATCACGATACCTTCAAGATCTTGGTTGACTCGTTAATTGTTCCGCTACGTCAATGTCTTTCGAGCTCGCATGCATTTCTGTATCGTCTGCGTACAACGCCGCCTCACTATCCTTGCACGCATATATGGATGTTAAATAGCGTCGGCCCGAGGACTGAACCCTGCGGAACCCCGTGTGTAACCCCGTGTGAACCCTGCGTAACCCCTGATTATTCATGGTTTTGCACCTACTGCGCTTACTGAAATATTTTCTAGTGCTTCAGTTGTCAGATCTCATGACTACAATTTACGTAATTCTGACATGAAGCTCAATCTTCCTTTTCCTAAAACGGAATATTTAAAAAAGAGTATAAGTTTCAATGGTGTTAAATTGTGGAACGATTTACCTATTGAAGTTAGAAACGCGGAAAGCCTAGGAATTTTTAACTCGCTTTTATGTGCAACTAGCCTGTCACGATCTACTAGTTTGTAAATATTTAACTTTGCATATACGTGTCTTGTTGTTTATTATGTGTTTTAAATTTTTTCACCACGCCCCCCTTGGAAATCAATTTGTATTGAAGGGGTTAGCGTGTTTAAATAAAGTTTTACCTACCTTACCTACCTACCTACCTACCTACCTACCTACGCCTTCGCACGAGACAAATTAATTGCTTCCTTTCGTGTAGATAACTCGTGAACCATTTCAGTTCGTTTTCGGTCACTCCGCTTTTCGGCGATAGTTTGCTTATCAAGATGTCATGATCTATGATGTCAAACACCTTTCTCAAGTCTAGGAAAGCGCAAACAACTTTCTCTCCTTTGTCTATAGCAAACTTCCACGAGTCAACGGTAATAATAAGTGCTGCTGTAGTTGACGAGTTTCTGGCGTACGCAAATTGATGGTCACCGATAAGATTATTCTCCGCTGCGAATTCTTGTAGATCGAGATTGGCTAACATTTCTTGCGCCTTTGATATGCATGACAGAACGGAAAGATTGATAATGATTGTAGTTTATCCTTTTTCCATTAAAAATGTCCTCACATTGCCTTTTCTAATTTAGCTTCTTCTGGAAATGCCAAGTGTTGGATTAAGTGGAAATTTTCTTATCATGGAAGGAGATTATATCATGGACTGTTCGTCTCATGGTAATTAAATTAGAATTGGCATCCCAACTTTCGATCATGTGTGCAGGGACGTCGCGAAGCCATCAACATTGAGGGGGTGTCGTCATGTTTTGATTCCTAGGATTTTGACCAAGTCGTACAAATGTTTCCCGAAAATGTTGTCGACGGGGGCGGGGGGGAAGGGAGGAGGTAAAAAAAATTTCCGGACTAACATAAGCATAGTCAAAAAAAATTTCCGCACTAACATAAACATACTCAAAAAATTTTTTCCGAACTAACATATTCAAAACTTTTCGATCAAGATAAGCAAGGCTTCCAAATTTTCTCACCGCAAAGATAACAAAAGCTTTAAAATTGTTAAAATTGCCAACCATTTCGTAACTTTCACCTACTTCGACCATCTTTTATCCCAAACTTTAATTTACCAAATTTTTCCGAGTTTTACCTTCAATTTTAAGCAAATATCAGTTCCATTTTGACCAACTTTGACCAACGTTTGGATTATTGGGGGGTGATACACCCAGCAGCGACGTCCCTGCATGTGTGTGAACGCATCTGCAGGTGTCATTGCTTAGCCTCCCAATATCAAGTAATATCAATATCAATATGTTACTATTTCCAGTTATAATTGCGATACGCCAACTGGGCCTATATACTGATCAGTTGGCCTGCATGGGTCACACTAGATTTCAGTCTCCACTTACCTGGGGATTGTGCGAAGTACAAGCTTCAAATTTCAGGCCCGACGTTGACGTGGGCAGTGGAATTGTTATGAAGTGCATAACATCAGAAGCACAAAGAATCCAAGATGGTGGACAACACATGTACATGGTCTTCAGTCAATATCCGATAAATTTAATCTGTAGCTACAGGGATTTTATACATGCATGATTGTAAAAGTTCGTTCAAATGAAGCAAACTAACTTTTTTGTCATATCCGTTAAAGCCCGTTTTGTTCGCGCGAAGCGACTTTGTCGGCATTGCTATCCTGACACGATAAGCGATGCCGACAAAGGAACAAGTAATTTAGATACATCATTGAGTAGAATTCCCAAAGTATGCGGTCAACATTTTTCAAGGAAGGTGGGTGAGTTGATGTCCTTTTGTGGTTGCCCGTAGCGCATTTGCTGCACCACCATTGGATATTAATTTATTGCATGATTACCCTCTCTTATTATATTCAAATTTTTAAATAAAGAGGAAAGCAAAGTTATTTGGATGCGAGAATTTGAAATAATTTTATTTCAAACTCAAAGATCAAGGCCGATAAACGGCAGTTTAGTTTTAATCTTGAACTGTCTTGACTTTGCCAGTGTAGGTATAGTGCCAATCAAATGAACAAGCTCTCGTTGGCAGGGATGCAACAACTTTAAAATATATAAGGAGAATTTCGACGTTTCGAGCGAAGGTTCTTCGTCCGGAGTTACTAAGGGCCTTCGCTCGAAACGTCGAAATTGTCCTTATATATTTTCAGGTAGTTGCATCCTTAAACAAACTTAGCAATCACATCCTGTTAATGCTTTAAGGCGATGCCCTACATTTTCTGCATGGACGTACGGGAAGGAAAAAATTAGGGGGGCGGAGAGAAATTTGCCCGACTTTTTCGGATTGTGCCCGAGTTGTCAAAAAAAATTTTCCGGAGAAACTTTCCAAAATTGTTGTCGACGAGGGGGGGAGGAGTGATTACGAAAAATTTCTATTAGATAACATATTTCCCACAAAATTGACAGATTTGTCCCATTTATTTTTATAATAAGCCAATATTGCCCTACTGTGAAGCGAATATTGCCCAGTAGGCCCATGATTTTCTGATCGGTACCCTTCCAGAAATCAACGTTGTACGCGCTCCTGCCTGTACAAAAGCAGCAAAACAGTACTACGCCTTGCAAAAAAAACCCGAAAACCGTGTTTCTGATTCAGTTGAATTTAGTTCAGGCCATGCTATCTCTTTAAAAAACCTTTTTCAGGTAACATTACGAGACACTGGACCGCGAATTCTACGCAATGTTTCTAGGATCTATATCCTGCATTATAGGCTATGTTTACATTGTATCGGATCAGTTTTTGCTTCGTTCACGAAACGTTGCGGCCCAAGTCTAAACAGCTTCCGCCCTCGCCCATCTAAATACAAAAATATTATAAGTAAGCAAGCTATACCCGCAAATAAGATTAGAATAGTAAGTCTTTGTTTCCCAGATGCCATCTTGAGTCACGCATTGAACCGAAAATTGCTCCGATTTGTGACATTAATACAATGAGAGCGTTGCAAAAACCGATCCGATACATCGCGCACCACTTCGAAGAGCGAACCGCCGCACCAACGGTTCGTTGCAGAAATTGAGACGATAACAACATTTCATATGTAAACAGAAGCCCTATCCGGTACGGTTTTTGCGTCGGACGCAAAGTGATCCGATACAATGTAAACATAGCCTTAGACAGGCTCTATGAATATATTGCAATTGCTCTTGTTCTAGATGAATCAGGAAACGAAAGGTCAAAGATTATTATTGCGATATGCAGTGCCCTTGTTGTATTTGGCTTATTAACATTTGCTGCTGTACTCTACCTGTACAGAAAGTTCAAAGGAAGGCTACGGGATGAACGTCTACTCGATTCAATGGAAGTAGAACCAGAAGTGTATAATTTGTAATTTGGTCTTCAAGCGTGGTAGTAGTATACAGGGGATTTAATTAAGATAGGCTGGGTAGCTCGTTAGGCATAATGAATAGAGATAGAATTCAACCTTATCATTGCACTGTGAAACGTTCGTTTTAACATAACAATTACTTCGCTAAATTTTCACTAAACCTACGCATGTTATTTTATGGAACGATCCAAAACTGATGCAATTTTCACGTCTTGTGACAACGCGAGTTTGCATAGTAACAATTAATTCCAGAGAAGAAGCAGATTACCTAATATTGATACCACTCCATGATACCCAAACACACATTGATAGAGCTATAGGAGTATGAAAAACGTATCCAACCCATACATAAAAACTGTAAAATCGTTACCAGACCTGGAAAAAGAGTTTATCGTCAAAAGTGCCTAAATTTAAAAACTTTTTGACCGTACTTATTTGACCGTACTTATTATGTACATGCAACAACCGTACACTTGACTGTAAGCTATTTATGTTACCCATCTCTAATGACAGACAAGACTCCCCCATATCGTATGTGGTTAAAATTGAAAATGTCCTTCAATCTTTTTGCGGATGTTCCGCATATGGATCCAGGATCCCGAGAACACACTTTTCCCTTGCAGGTCAGGGGCGGGCTGTACGAAGGTCGGATAGAGCCAGTGGATAGAGCTATCCACCAGGTAGCAATTTTTTCAAGCTTTCTAAATTTAGCCCGGTGATTAGTGGAAACCAGTTCAAACTTAAGTAAGTTATAAATTTAAATTCATTAATCTCGAGGTACACAGCTTTCAGGTATTTTTAGAAAGGTTAAAAAAATCACTATCCTGTCGATAGCGCTATCTGGCCTTCGCTTCCTTGTGAATCACAATCTCGTCCCCAGAGCCATGTTCAATCGGTCACTCGTTGAAAATTAGGCTCTGGGTTAGACGACTAAAGGGAGAGATGTGATTGGCTTCTCAGAGAACTAATATTTCGCAGACGTTCAGTTGAGCAGTTTTCGCTAGGCCAAATGATTCTATCAACAAATGTCAACACAAATACTTCGTTTCTTCGTAATACTTACTGTGAAAATTGTTACCGGTGCTAAAGCGCCCCAATTCAAGAGCATGCGATTTAGAAACTACTACAAGTTTTCTTGCACTTCTGGTTCCGTGTGTCACACGGCCTAGGGAAGACGCGCGCGGCCAAGAGTCCCTGGGGACGAGGATGTGTGAATCGTTCTCCGTGACGTCATTCTGACTGCCCTAATTATTCCATTTAAGTGTTTTTCATACGTACGTATACGCACGGAGAAATTTAAATCTTTATTAATTTTAGTTCCAATTAACTTGATTTATACAAATGAAACTAGAAATTTCTGTGCTGAAAAAGTGCTGCGAAATGTACATATCGATTTTTATAATAATTCTCAACAGATTCACAATTAGTCTTTCTCACGCACGAGTCTGCGAGAAAAGTACATAACAGCGACTTTTTATAATTTTTTGACGAATGATGGTAAATTTGCAATAATAAAATGATTGTAAATGGTTAGTTTATGTCGAAAAATTGCTTTTCACATTGTTTTAATTGTCTGCGTTGGTTAACGAGAATTAGATGCCACCCAAAAATGGCGGATATTCGTCATCGTGAGAAAGGCTAGTTGCTATGAGCGCTTCTGTACACATCTTATTTTAAAAAAATGAGCAATTTGGGGATATTTGCATTCACTTATCTAAGGACCAAGAACAATATGGCAACATATCATGTTACAATAGAAAGATTTGTTGGGAATACACAGAATGAATCGCAATGGTAGTAGAATTAGAAAGTGAAATATTGCACGTATTTGACCATTCCCAAGAGCGTTCAAATACAGTTTATCGCCTTTTTTCAATAACTGATCTACAGTAAAACAATGCCAATGTCGTGTTGGATAGACTTGGGCACATAGCAACGCTGAAAAACTCTGCATTTCCCGTATCCGTGAGATATTAACTAAACATTTCGTCAGGCGTCACTTTGATGAATGCTTCCAGCAATATAAAGTACTGGTTTAAACGTGATAATTTTATCCAATTTACCTAAAAAACAGCTTTCTTTTAGGGAAAAAACTGGGGGGAAATAGAACAAACAGGCGGAATTCCCAAATTCAGCACAATGCTCAAGCGCGGTAACTACAGTACTTCACCTTGCACGGATATTTTGGATCCGTGCACCACTATTCTTAGACAGTGTTTTATGCTATTTAAGCAACGCGTGACGTCACAAATCGTCGTAAGTTCCACAAACATACCACCAAAACAGCGAGATTGTAATTGTATACACATATACAGAATAGTTTAGTTATTTCATAAGAAGCATTTAAATTATCTGAACTTTTCTGCGCGTATACGCACGTATGAAAAACACAGTCTTGAATATTCTGCCAATTCACTTGCTCACATCACAAATGCATTTGAGAAACATTTGTCAATGACCGCAACTTCCTGTTTCTGATAATTTCTGCCTCATTATGACTGGCCAATAGCACCGAAACCAAAGGTGATTCATACATGAAGTTCACAATTACACCAGAAAACTGCAGATTGAAAGGGATTCAACTGCCTTAAAAATACAAGGAGGAGGAGAAGCTGGGTAGTGAAAGTGCCTTCGCTCAAAATGTCGAAGTTTTACTTGTATTTTTCAGGTAGTTGAATCCCTTTCAATCCACAGATTTCTGGTGTTATTGTCACTGCGGCACTGCCTACGCTGGCACAGACCGTTCGAGTTTATCAATTACACCGTTTATACAGGAAGTTGTCAAATTAATTGGAATGTTCGGGTGAGCAAATGAATTGCTAGAATATCTTAGCAACGCCTCATCCATTGCCAGGCCTATAACCAGAATTTACATTCCTAACAATCACTTTAAAGTTTTAATTGCATACTTGATTTAACTCCATTTACCGTTATAGTAGGCTACTGCAAATATATTTTCGCAGGAAAATCTCCTGGCACATCAAAAATCCGTAGACAATTCAGTTACATTGGCCATTGCATATACAATTATAGTACAACCATTTCGAGGCGCATACATGCAGTAATTACTTTGTTTTTCACAACAACACGTAGGAAGTGAAAGAAAGCAGGACGGTGAGGAAGGTGACACATTTTAAAATATAGACAAATTTGATGCATGCATAATAACATAAAGGAATCCATTCTATTTTAGTATACGTATACAGTGTATACATATACACAGGGTGTATGAAAAACCGTAGTCCTCGTTTCAAATATGAATTTTGAAGCGAATAATACAGAGCTTTCCAACGGTGTGTTGCTTTTCCCATTTGATCGCGATTGGTTCACGAATAATATTATTTTAAGTAGCTACAATTAGAGTGGCTGCAATTAGGATGCAATAACAAATCCAATGCGCTGAATGAAAACTTGTCGTGTCAAGAAGATACTGAAAAATTTGAGACATTTTGGTAATGGTTTGTCAAAAAAAAATCACTCCCCTTGTGGTCGTTTGAGCACTTTGCCCCATTACACTTGCTGTACGTCTACACCAGATGCGACAATGTCACTGTGTCGTACCATGCACATGGTGAGAGCAAACTCATGAGCGGTCATGATTATGTTCGTCATGGTGTGTATAAAATGGTGCATGTATAAAATATCAGGGTGTATAAAAAAGCCAGAGTCATCTCTAATAATTTTCGGAATACTATTTTTTGTGCTAAAACGATTTTTAGTCTTATTTTAAAGCTTTTTCTTTTCTCATCCGAACAAGGTGTCGCACGTGTACACTGGGCAGGAGAAAATTTAGTAAAGCCTATCATTTTTAGATGCTGTTTAATTCTGCGAATCTACTATGTAATACCATTCCAGTTTGAAATGTTTGAATTTTCTTTAGGTTTCGTTGTTTATAAAAAAACGTTTGGCAGAGTGCTCAATCGATCTATTTCCATAGCAACGGTTTTTAAAAAAGCTCCACATATACGTCACCGATCGGCCGATCAAAGTGTGGAAACGGAATTATTTTCATTATTCCAGGAAGTCAGTCAAGGTAAATGAAAACGGAATAAACATTTGAACAAAAACATTTAACAGAAAATAAACAAAAACAACGGATTTTATCTACACCCATTAATGGTCTATAGTAACCGTCCTGCTTTCTTAAACTTCATGCACCATCACGTCGGTATAATACCCTGCACAACAAATTTTAAAATCCCTAGTACATATAAATACATAATATTTATAGCTCAGATAAAATTCTAACTGCGAATATCAATGTTGCTTCGAGGCAATGTACTCATTGTAATGTACAGAAACTTTTTCACTACGATACCTAACTAACTTTGTAGAATTACGAATTTCCGGTGTTATCGTTCCTTTGAAGCCACCTTTTCGTAATAACGAGTCAATCGCTTGAACTTTGGTCCAGCCTTTAAAAAAGAAACAGGCACTTTCGTTTAATAAAGTTTGATACTATAAAAATCACTTCCAAATTTGATGAGAAGTGGTGAAACCGTCGCCAGTTATGGGTTCCGTGCCATTTCGGTGCCAGCGTACCATTACGTTTCGAAGTGATCAAATAAAACCATGCACATATAAATTTGCATTGTAATACCACATAATTATATTAAAACTTATGCCATATCACATAGTTATATTACAGTGCGTCTACAGTAAGTGGAGCCACTTAGAGAACACTAACCAATCACATTGCAGAACAAAAATAGAAATCTAATCAAACTACAGCTCGTCCAGTCAAAAGAAAGCATGGAGTTCGCTTCAGGAAGCCAGTAACTGCAGTGTTTACGTTTCAAGTCAATTTTTACCGTTTGACATTTGTTCATTTGTTAAAATTGTTTTTGGCCTACATGCTTATTGGCTAATGCGCCGTTTGTTGATTTTTTCTATTTTTGTTCTGCAATGTGATTGGTTAGTGTTCTCTAAGTGGCCCCACTTACTGTAGACGCACTGCATGTAAACCTTTGTGTGAATATTTATTTCAGCCAATCAAGAATGGTTAAATAATGATTAGGGACAATTAAACATAATGAACATCGGCAAAATGGACCTAACAAGGAAACACATGCATGTTCGTGCACATTTCGATACAACTCGTATATTTTTCAGATATACACCCTATACTGTAACAAGCACAGGGTGTATCGTCCTCCCTCTTCGCAACAAGATATCGACAATAGGAATTTACTAGATTATCCTCCACCCGAAGTACTGTTATCCGAACTCACTGTGACAGTCGAAGATGTTACAAATTATCTCAATGCTCTGGACATCACGAAAGCAAGTGGGCCCGACGAAATCCCTGCTCGTTTCCTTAAAACTTGTAGCAATGAAATCGCGCCAAGCCTCTGCTCCCTCTTCAACCGATCGCTAGAAACAGCTCGTTTACCGTCGGAATGGAAAATGGCCAATATAACTTCAGTGCACAAAAAGGACTCCCTTGAACCAGCCATCAACTACAGACCTATCTCCCTGCTGTGCATAATAAACAAAGTTCTAGAACGTCTTGTTGGGAACAGTCTGCGTGCTCAGGTAAAACATCTCATCACAACCCTGCAACATGGTTTTCAACGCAACCGCTCGTGTGCCACCCAACTGCTTGCAGTCCTCCATGAAATTGGGAAGAATCTTGACCAAAATGTTCAAACTGATGTACTGTAAACGTTTTGGTGTAGTAGACCGCATGCATGATTGGTTCAAAGATTATTTGCATCAACGATTCCAACGAGTTGTTGTAGACGGTGCAGTCTCCGACTGGGCACATGTTACTTCGGGCGTTCCGCAAGGAAGTATTTTGGGTCCTATGCTATTTGTAATATTCATAAACGATTTACCAGACGTTGTGCCAGACTGTATCTCTACAGGACTTTACGCAGATGACACCAAACTCTACAGGAACGTATCAACTATCGGTGACTGTGAGAAATTACAAGACGCTTTAACAGAACTTGGTTCTTGGAGTTATCAAAATAACATGAACTTTAATGCGTCAAAGTGCAAAGTTCTGTCCATAACACGCAAGGTCAATCCATTGCATTTTCAGTACCATATGGATTCTACTAAGTTACTTCGAGTAAACGAAGAAAAAGATCTCGGGGTGATCATTACCGAGAATTTGTCATGGGAATCACATCTTACCTGCATTTGTGCGAAAGCTAACAAATTACTCGGTCTATTAAAGCGAACATGTATTTCAATTATTGACAGTAGTGTTCGAAAGACTCTCTATTTGACGTTGGTTAGGTCCAAGTTAAGTTATGCGACTGAGGTTTGGTCTCCAGCAAGTTCCTTATTGAAACAAAAGGCTGAGAAGATTCAGAGACGTGCTACGAGATGGATCTTGCGCGTCAAAGCCGGTGAACTATCCTACAAAGAGAGGCTTCAGCAACTGGATATGCTCCCTCTTGCGTACGATCGCGAGGTCAAAGACTTAGTATTTTTTTATAAGGCTGTGAACGGATATATTGACATTGATGTCTCAAATTTTGTTAACTTTGTCAATCATGGACGGACACGTAGAGCATTGAGATCCAAATACTTAGAAACTCCGTTGTGTAAAACTTGTACGTACAGTTCGTCGTATTTTAATCGTGTTGTCAAATTATGGAACAGTGTTTGTGTCTCGATTGATCCTTCCAGTTTTACATCGCCATCGTCTTTCAAACTATACCTCAAGATGAGGTATAAGAATATTCTAGAAACAGTATTTGATCCGGACATGACTTGCACTTGGTCACTTAAACGTGATTGTGGTTGTCACAAACAATAACCTAACTTAACTAATCAAATTAATGTGCATGCATAATATTAATATTTATTTATTAAGTAAATATGTTATACAGGGTGCCCCAGAGGGGACCAAAGCTGTTGAGATGGCGTATTGCTTGGGAATTGAATTGCCTTGGCACTCTGCTGAACCTATACTGTAAGTGCATAAAAGCTTGACAAAAGTAAATTTTACGAATAAAGAAACTGTTTAAGAAGTTGCTTTAAATTCCAAAGAGCAGATAATCGTGAGCTTACAAAGATATTTTAATTTCTTCACTACTCATATTATATGCATCATGTCGATCATATTTACGTATCTTTGCGTTCAGTTGGTGCTGGGGCGTTCGGATTCTGGCAGTGCTTTGTTTCAGTGGTTTTGGTTTTTTTTGGGACACCCTGTACTGTATACTGTGAATTAATTAAAAGGTTTATGTTAGGAAGAGGAGGGGCACCATGCAATGGACTTTACGTCCAGTTTGTGCCTTGTCCGTTCGAGTACAGCTCTTTAATTGTATGTTAGATGAATAATTGTTGAATTAATTTGTACTCAATAAAGTTTAACAAACAAACAAACAAACAAACAAACAAACAAATGTTATAATAATGTATAATATATATAATATATATAATATATATAAGCACACACTGCAAGAAGATGATCAAGCATTTGGCTGTATATATGTGGGAAATTCAGTATAGCAACGCCAACAGGCATGCTGTTTCAGTTTGCATATATACTGCAGTCGTTGTAGCCAAATTTGTTCAGTTGCAGTTCATGGTTACTTACATATACGAATAACTGCAGGATTTCATCCTTATATAAATAGACTCCGAAAAATATGTGTCAATAAACTGAAAATTGGAATCGCGAGACATACCTTGTTCTCTGGCGACTTCAGGAAGATACGTGGCTGTTCTTTTATTGCCTTTTTCATTGTAGAATTCTATCCTAATACCATGAATACCAATCTGATTGAAAAGAAATGAAACGTAATATATTACAGTATGTAAACATTCATATTGGCTTACTGTAGATTCTGTATTACCATGGATTGTAAAATAACTGGATAGGAAACTTCCTGACGTCACAGTCTAAACCTAGTTGCAATCTGTGACGTCACGCGTACTGCCAAAGTTAAAAGAGTAATATTGAAGCATAAACTGGTGTAATTACTCGCTGGAGCACCCTGTGCCCCAGACGAGTATAGGTTTCGGCATGCATTTTTCTTGGATAGTGGATCGTCGATAGCCACAAAATAGAATATTAATGAGCTGCCTAATCTCCCCAGTAAATTATCCATAAGGCTCCTGCCAATTTTACCCAAATCATCCATAAATAACCCTGTATTTTGAGGAAAATTCGGGAAAATTGAACAATTTTACAAGGAATTTCGACATGGAAACAGCAACCTTCGCAAATCGCAAGTTTATACCACAGAGTTTATACGTTTGGCTGCGCTGCTTTATATTTTGAGAAGAAAGCGACACCGTTCGATTCAGCGTAATAAATTGTACTTATGGATGTCAAGTGTATTACTAAACACCAGTTTTCTAGCGATTTATGGCCTTTGAAAATCAAGCGAAATTGTATTGCTGACAAATCGTTCGCAGTACGTACTATTGTTGACAAATCACTCGCACTACGTTTGTCCTTGTATTTGTAATGCCTAATGGCGCAAAAAGGATAAAAATACCACCGTTCGATTCAGCGTAAGAAATTGTACTCACGGATGTCAAATGTATTACTAAACAGCAGTATTCTAGCGATTTGTGGCCTTTGAAAATCAAGCGAAATTGTTTTGTTGACAAATCGCTCAAAATTATTAAACTAATTATAAAAAAAATGCCGTACGTTTGATCCTTGATAACTTTGGTATCATTGGTTTTCTCTTTTTCGGCCGTATACCAGTGGATTCGTCTCACTTCTCTCTTCATTGTGATAGTATTTTGAGCCCAAAAATATTTTATTTTGAACGTTTTAAAGCGCAGTTTTTAATCCTAGCGTACGGACCAACTGGCGGCTGACAGTCTTGAAGAAGGACGTAGCGTATTAAATATAACTTTACTTGTAGGGGTAGGGGTAGGGCCTACCGCATTTTAGTACTGTGTTAAGCCTTTCGCGCTCGTTTTCGACTTTTCCGCTTAGCTCGGGGAAAACCTTAAATCTTAATTGAAATAGCTGTGCACTGCGAGGTGTACTGTATGTATCATGTGTGATCATGTACAGTAATGCGCGTATTTGTATAGCCCCAGCGCGTTAACGCTCCATAGAGCGTCTTGTTGTTTTAAAAACATGCCTAAGCCACGACGAAGTATTCAAGGTAAATGTTTTTTGTCTCTGTTTTGTATTTTTTTACATTTGTAGCTACGTACGAAATTGGCGTCGCCAATTTCAACGAAATTTGCGATGCATTTTTCACTGTTTAGTGCTTGAAATATTTGCTAAAATTGACTGGGAATACTTAGAGATTTCATCGTAGAATGGCGTAGTTATATTTATTTGCTCTTTGACTAAAATGTTTAGCTGTATTATTGCTAAACATGCCGTTTTTGAGAATTTGCTTTGCAACTAGGTTTCAACATCCAACCACGCCATCAGCCCATTGAAAACATTAGGTCACGTCAGCTAGTTACCTATCCATTTATTTTATTATCCATGGTATTACTAATACACTCAGACATGTTATGACCATCACGATTACATCAAGCTAGGTCCCTATAAGCTTTTAATAAAAATATTCTAAACTCAAAACATCTTGAAGTCCTCCAATTAAGAGGTTTTCCTCGGCTACTGATCTACGTAGTATTTTACTTGAGCAGATTATGCTATGCTTCTTCGTGTAATGATTTTATTTCAAACAGTAATTCACCGACACAATACGCTATTAAGAACTTTCATTTTACCGACAACATTAACATGCTTGGTATTGTTTAATATATATATTATGTATCTATCAATTCTATAACGCGATTTCACATGTCACATTTCGTTCAAAACATTGGAGATCGGAATTTTAGCTGTTGTTATATGTGTATGCATTGAGTAAATCATAAGTACACAGAAGTTCAACATATGATTCAAATTCCGAATCATTAGCTTACCTCCCAATCAAAACAGTTATCACCCTCTTCAAAATTAGTTAGCAACGATACTGAACATGATAATTTACAAAATTCCTCTATAGTAACTGGAGCAAATCGACTATCTTTCAAGGCACTGCAAAAATTTCCAAATAATAATATTACAGTAACATAATAACAATAGGCAATTCCAGCTTTTAGTTTATGCAGGGAGGGGGGATGGTATCATATTACTGATTATGCTGAAGAAATGGTACCATGGCAATGTAAACACGGAGTGATAGCTTATACTTGTAAATATTGAAATATTTCGGTTGTTTCGGCAGTTTTTATTGAAATTTTTCAGCATAATCAGTAAAATGATGCCTTACTTCCCGTCCCCCCCTGCGCATAAATTGAAAGCTGGAATTGTCCATTAAACTAATAAACAATTATTGGATGAGACTGAGCTGAATAATTCTTGATGTCATGTGAAAGCCGAATCCAATAATTGTGTTATTATGCATTTAAAGACATCAGAAACATATAAAACGATTAAACGAAGTTTATTAATGTTTCAAGTATATTACAACAACACTGCAATAAAGTAGAAAACGAACATTTCTTTTAGTATTTTGTTTATTTTATTTTTGCGCGCTTTTGGGTTTGAGTTGTTGGCCGCGCCGGGGCTTGGGCACGACAGCGTTCAATAATTTTTTTTTTGGATCCAAAAAAACTATTATTGGACGCTGAGCACGTCAGCAACTGAAATTACGTAATAAGTACCGAATAATGAGAATTATCCGGTGCTCTCTGACCAATCAGGAACGAGAATATATACTAAATGTATAATAACAACAATTGTTCAGTGATCTTTATTGTAGTTTAAAGATAAAGAGCAGAGCCCAACAAATAACTTTAAATCCAAACATAATAAAGGTAAAAAATTTATTAGCTAACGTTTCGTTGTTTACAATACAACATCTTCAGAGCAATCTAAATGAATTTACAGGGTATGGTATATATATTTACAAAATAATGGTTTAATATTACAAAAACGGTTACATAGTTTGAAAGAACAAATGAATAGAAAGAAAGGAAAACAACTTATCAGTGACTAGTTAATAAGTAAAGATTAATGCAGGTTGATGGTGTTGCAATGGGTTCACCACTTGGTCCACTGTTTGCTAACATCTTTCTATCATTCCATGAAAAATCGTGGTTAGCTGACTGCCCTTCTAACTTTAAACCTTTGTTTTATCGTCGTTATGTTGATGATTGTTTTCTGATCTTTCAATCCCGTGATCATGTGCTTCCCTTCCTCTCTTATCTCAATTCCAAACATTCAAATATTCAATTCACACATGAACTTGAAAACAATTCTTCGCTCCCTTTTCTTGATGTTAACGTAATGCGTTCAAACGGCTCATTCACGACCTCAGTCCATCACAAATGCACTTCAACTGGCTTATTCACAAACTTTGATAGCTTTATTCCAATGATGTACAAAAAAGGTCTCCTTTTCTCTCTTATATCTCGATATTTCAATATTTGTTCTTCTTACATATCTTTCCAGTCTGAAATGGAAAATTTTAAGAAAACCTTTTCTTCCAATGGTTATCCTAAAGCACTTATAGATAGTTGCATTAAGACATTTCTTGACAGGATTTACAACACCAAGGACAAGGTCCATACATGTTCCAAGAAAATTGTTTACTTTTGCCTTCCTTTCACTGGACATCATGGTCTACATATCCGTTCACAACTTAGTAAAGTTCTTGCTTCTGCTTATCCACATATTTCCATACGTGTTGTTTTCCGTCCCTCTTGTCGCCTTTCTAGTTTCTTTCCATTTAAAGACAGGATTCCCATTGCCCTGAGATCACATGTTGTGTATCAGTTCACGTGTCAATGCTGTAGCGCATTGTATGTTGGCCAAACACGCCGACACATTCACACACGTATCTCAGAGCATATGGGAGTCTCGCCTTTGACTGGAAAAGAACGCTCTATCTCAACCATGTCTGGTATACTCGCTCACAAACACATGCACAAACACCCAGTCTCCGCTTCTGATTTCAAAATCCTATCATCAGGCACTTCTGAGTGGGATCTTCTTATCCGTGAAAGCCTATTAATATCTCAACTTAACCCTGTCCTTAATGCTAATATTAGATCTACCCCTCTTGAGTTATTTTAGTTATGTAATATTAACCTTAACTATACTAACCATACATTAATCTTTACTTATTAACTAGTCACTGATAAGTTGTTTTCCTTTCTTTCTATTCATTTGTTCTTTCAAACTATGTAACCGTTTTTGTAATATTAAACCATTATTTTGTAAATATATATACCATACCCTGTAAATTCATTTAGATTGCTCTGAAGATGTTGTATTGTAAACAACGAAACGTTAGCTAATAATTTTTTACCTTTATTATGTTTGGATTTAAAGTTATTTGCTGGGCTCTGCTCTTTATCTTTAAACTAAGATCTTTATTGTATCCATCATTGGATATTTGTGATGCCTGGAACCAGGCCAAAAGATAAGTATGAGCTATGTCTTTTCATTACAATGCTGAATCCGTTTTTTGCTTTGATTGGTATATATTTTTAATCAAACAAGCTATGTACATGTACTGTAAAGGTCTCAGCTGATATTCAGGCAATCGTAGCTACGAGTTTTAAACGTACAGTATACAGTAGAGGTGTGCATCGGATCGGATTGGACGTTTATAATCCGACAATTGGCTAATGTTTAAAATCCGATCCGAAATTGTCTAATCCGAATCCGATCCGAGTTATGATAAAGAATTCCGATTCGATCCGAAGAATCCTTTAATAAAATAAATTTCTCATTCAAGTTGAAATATTTAACCAAATAAAATAAAAGTAAGAAATACATGTCAAGAAGCTGACAAAGTGACGTCCAATTGAAGTATCAAACGAATAATGCAGCGACAACCGTGATAATGCTTTGATAAATGCATGGATAATTAATTCTTGCGATAATGCGTGGATAATTAATTCACTTTATGTCGAATATCGAAGTCCGATCCGACTACGAAACAACTTTATCAATCCGATCCGAAATGTATATTTTTGTTCCGAAATCCCAACCTCGTCCCCAGGGCCTTTGAGCTGGAGAAGGCCCTGGCATCGGCTAAAATTTACACCCCAAATTTTGGGGTGTAATAAATTAAGACCCATATAATATATTCAAATTATATGCAATATTTAATTCTGATGGCCAAGGAGCGGTGAACACGAATAACAGTATTTCACACACGGAATGTTGTCAAAATGTGGAAATTTTCTGATACGTTTAAGCGGTTACATGTAGCATTTGCTATGAATAATTTTCCCAGTTTTTGTTTGAAACCAAAGCAAGTTCAATGCTTTGAATATTTGCTTCAAGGCTTCGATGTGTTGTCGATTCTTCCAACTGGCTTTGGAAAGTCGCTGTTGTTTCAGCTTTTGCCAGACCTTTTGCCAGTTAAAAAGTCGTCCCAGAATATCGTTCTTGTTGTCTGTCCGTTATCAAGTATAATCGAAGATCAAATCAGTGCTCTGAGTTTGATTGGAATTCCAGCAGAAATTTTACCAAATACATGCGAAGATTCTTCACATTTATACAATTCGGAGTCGTTGTTTGATCGCAAGGAGGATACAAACGAACAAACTTGCGAAAAGATGTAGGTCTTCATTGTGAACCTCTTTTCTCATCTGACCCTTTGATAATATAATAAAAATGTTTTAATATTAAATATTTTAAATCAATGGCCATCTGCGTTATATTTATAGACTAAATTTTGATCTAGACAAAAGTTTCATCACATCTTGAAAGAGCATCACAAAATTAGTAATATCCCAAAGTTTCGTTGCGAAATGTTGTAAAATGCGGATAATATAGCCTTGCTAAATTTGCAATTTTCAGTCCTTTTAGATTACAAACGGGAAATTGATGCCCCAACACCCGATTGGGCTGTCAATTTCCCGTGCGTAATACCAAATGACTGAAAAACGGCAAACTTCGCAAGGCTATATTATATGAAATATAGGCTTTGGAATATTACTAATTTTGTGATGCTCTTTCAAGCTGTAATAAAATTTTCGTCTAGACCAAAATTTAGTCTATAATGCAAATGGTCCATTGTTATTAAATATTGATGTCACGCTTAATAGCGAAACTTGTAGTAACCATTCCAAATTAAAGTTTGCAATATAAACGAACGTTAATTTTACTGTCGCGAGGCTTATACATATTAAAATGGTTTTAAAAACATTAAATTTAAAAACTAATATGTATTTAATCTTGTAGACACGTTATAGCGTTGTTCGTTCAGGTAGTTATTAAGAAATACCTATGGCTATGCACTTGCGTATTACCTTCAAAATTCTTTTGTCCCAGTTATCTCCCGTACCACGAAAAGTCTTCCCACTCTTATAAGCTTCTCCACTGTCTTGTCAAGGAAATGACCACCCAGTAACGTGAGTAAAGTAGTGCGTCTGCTATGGGACAGGCAAACACCAAGCTTATTCAGGCGATGTTGTAACTAGAAGAGAAACCTTTTATTACAAATTATAATTGACAACAATGTTGCAAATTATGGCAATGCACTACTTTAATAAGCCTAGTTTCTATTTGGTCTTTATGTTGATACTCTATTTATACATCAGCCATATTACTGTAAATTATACAGATGAAGGAAAAAGTAAGAATAAAGAGCGCATAATGGCTGAATTTTACAGTTTCTTAATACCTAAATTTGTCCTGTTTTATAAGAAGGGAAACTGATTAGCATCTCAAATGATTTTGTTTATGCAGACTCGTGCAGCTA